TAACCCTGTTGCTGTACGTTGGCCAAAACATAGAAATCTGGTTTGTCTGAGGCCTTGGGATGTCAGTTCATGTCAATGTCACCATAGCTTTAGACAGGGAAGCTCCTTGAAGTCAGAAGAGTGCCCCCTCTTCTGTGCAGGATTAGTGTCTCAGTTGGGTCTTTGCGGTAAAGTTCTCTGGACACCTGTGGAAACTGCTCCAGTGCCCTCTGGGACAAGAGAAACAAAAGTGTTAGCCCGTGCCAGGTTATGCAGGATATAGACACAGGACACCATTGGACATCAGTACATTCAAGATGCTTTGCTTGTGCCTGTGGAATATAAGAGGCTCTTCCGACACCGAGCTGAATTCATCCGTAAAACACAGATAAACATAAAGGATGGAATCTTGAACAAACTGGGGCTCTTTTGTGTCGTAAACAGAGTGACAGAACTGGAACAGAAAGCATAAACAGAAACACCATTCTTCAAGGCGCGTTTATAATGCGAGTCCTTGTTCTAATCCCCTATCGTGAACACTGGGCTCTTGATGGCAGAGGACAGCGGACTCCTTGTCCAGTGGCTCTCAGGCACGGGGCCTGCAGTCCCTATCGGACCAAGCACCACTGCGGCCTGAGGCCCTTCATTACCCCAGAGCTCAAGACATGTCAGTAAGACTCAAGGACTGAGGGACAGGCTCAAGAGTCCTGAAGCACTCTGCAGATCCAGAGTGTGAGAGGCAAGTGTGCAACAGAGAGGAGTGAAATAAACAAGTGTCCTGATGTGTTTAGATAAACAGATAGATAGATATGAGATGTGTGCAGTCAAATTCACATATTTGTGTCACAGAATTACAGGTACACTATGTAAAGTGTCTGTCACTGGCTGGAGTTGAATAATTGAAGCTGGACTTGAAAATCAGTTTATTAACTGGAATCCTTGGTGAAGATATCACAACTATGCTGGAAACTAACCTACTGAAATTTCCTCCTTTCATCCAATATGTGCAGCAATTTCTTACTTTCGTAAGAACAGTTAACTATCAAGAACTTAACAAGCTAGCTCCTCTCATTTGCAGAGTTTCTTGTACTCTTGTATTCGTTCATGTGTCATTGCAGCTCCATATTTGCGAGCTGCTGCACCTACACATGTGACCAGCAGGTGTCGCTTGAGCTCTGAGTCCAGTTTGGGCCTAAATTCTTTGAAGAGTTTGATGATGTTATCACATTGCATTCCGGCAATTCGCACAGCAATTAGCAGCATTCCAGGCTTCCCTCGCGCAGGAACACAATCACGCACATCCACCTCATAGGCCTTTGTTGTGTGTGCTCTCAGATGCGTCAGTAATCTGAGCACACATCAATGACTTCATTGTTGCGGCTATCAGAACCGCGCTTTGTTTCAACACAGTTGTAACTATAAATGAAATGCTCAATGCCTGAGGCAGGAGAGTAGGCCAGTGATGCATGTGAAAAGCTCATGAACTTCAAAAAGACATGTTTACTCTGTGGAGGTGTGACAAGTGCTCCAGCCAGCAGCCCAGGGAATCATGGGTTCAAATCCTGATTCTGATGCTGGTGGCAGTTGTACCTTGAAGCCAGGTACTTTAATAATAATAATTCCTTACACTTATATAGCACTTTTCCAGACACTCCACTCAAAGCACTTTACAGGTAATGGGGATCCCCTCCATCACCACCAATGGTAGCCCCACCTGGCTGATGTGACAGCAGCCATACTGTGCCAGTATGCTCTCCACACACCAGCTCTCAGTGGGGAGGAGAGCAGAATGATGAAGCCAGGTCATAGATGGGGACTATTAGGAGGCCATGACTGGTAAAGGCCAATGGGTGGGGTTACCCCTACTCTTTTCGAGAAACACCCTGGGATTTTTGTAATGACAACAGAGAGACCACTTTACTCGGAAAGCTCTAATAAACGTACAATAAATGGGTCTTCAGGATGTTAAAGTAAATGAGAATTTGTCTTTGATTTCCATACATTAGTCCAATAATTCTGTATGTTTGTATTGTAAATGTCTGTAAATGCTTTGTTAAGTGTATCATGCCATTTAGGTTTTTTTAATTTGAATTTAGAGGATTCAGTAAGTGATAGGCTCAGTGGCACAGTGGTTAGCATTGTCATCTTCATGGTGCTCTGGTTTCCTCCTACAGTCCAAAAACAGGTAATTGGCTTCTGGGAACATTGGCCAGCAAGTTCAGTCTGCTGCAAGGCCAGGTTCAATTTAAACACACAACAGGAACACATTTCTGTGGATCTGCTCGGCCGACACAAGGCACAAGCCACTCAAACCAAACAGATAGAGCTTCTCCCCGTGTCATCCTCAACAGGCCCATAGAAAACTGCTGCTGGACCTGGCACCCCCTGCTCGTGCGCTGGGGTGTCACTGTGACCCCCCCACTCTTCAGGCTCAGGTGAGAGGAAATGGCAGCTCTGAGTGGCCTTCTCATGTCCAATTTACATTGACATGCGATGCATGTAGATGTCTGTAAATGTTGTTTTAATTGTTCCCGCTTTTGTAACACTGTAACTCATCGGTCACACAGATCAAGCCCTGAGAATTTGAAAGTCCTTGTGAAAACAGTTTACCCCTTCTGTCGTTTGAAGTTGCAATCAAACAGCTGCTGTAAGACACTGAAGGGAAACGCAATCGATCAGCTGCAGGGAGCTGTAAATCTCCCCCGTCACTCCCTCCAGACACTCCCCAAAAGCGTGGGAGGCTCAGCTTCGCAGGCGAAACTTCATCTCGGATCGCAGGGCTCTGGGGTTTCGTCTCCGAGGTGAACCCTGATCCGCCCAGCACCTCTGCCTGTCCGAAATCAAACTGCGCTGACACGGTGTCAGCTCCACATCGTCCACAGTCGATTGACAGTGAGGTCTCTTCCATCGGTGATTGAATATTCAAGTGCTCCTAGCAAGCTGGTGTTACAATTTCAGGTGAATTAACAACATAGACACTGTTAGAATACTTTCCCTCACCAAGAGATTTATATTCAGGGGACCCCAGTTATTTAAAGTGAGCTTTGGGGTGTACAGTCACTCTGATCAGTGGGACCAGGGAATGCTGGAGGTCCTGAAGAGCTGTGAGCTGTTAAAGCTGATGCAGGCTGCTGTGAGCCCAGCTGGGCATCAAACCTGCAGACCCACTGATCCTCCAGGGTGAGGACAGGGAGCCTCTGATCTACACCTGCAGCTGAACTCTTTTATTAGATACATCCTTTTCTTTCTACTCAGAGCCTGGAGGTTTTAATCAAGATAGGGAAAGCTACAACTAAAAAGCAGACTCCTGCAAGTTTAGGAATCGAAAGCAATTAAAAAGATAATTAAAAAGTCAGTTGATCTCTGTAACTGAACTACATGCTAGGTTAAATATTTTTTAACCTGCTTCTGCACTTGTCTGTGTTTTAAAAACGTCTCCACTGCAGTTTTCTGCTGCCAAGATATTGAGGTGTTAAATCCATAAATTGAGAATTGATGCACATTTTGAACCCTTCAACTTATTTACTCAGCTTCTTGTTGGCTGAATAAAGGCTGAATAATCAACAGGTCAGTTAGCCTCACTGAGAGTTCAGATGGTCCAGAGCAGAAGACCATTGCTCTCGTTTCGGAGTCATTCCTCGCTCATGTCTGCCAGGGTGTCAGTGTGTTGTTTGTCATGCAGAGTTGCCTTGTGTAAAAGTCAAAAGAAACAAAGACATATTCTTAGATTTGATGAATGACAGAGCACTTGAAACAATCAGAAAGCATTAATGCATTAGAACTAAATTCCAAAGGCAGAGAATTCTAACAAGCTTTGCTAGAAGAGAGTATTTAATACCCTTTTGTCCCTAAATCATGTATAAAAATGAATAAATCTCTGAAAAATAATACCAACAATTTAAAATATTTATAAAGAAGACCTTGTTGATATCTTAGTTGTTTACTACTCCCTGTGTGGCTGTCAGATTGCTGCACAACAATACTGACCAAACATTCCTCACAGTACCCATCTTGTTATATGCAGGCCTAGTAGCACTCTGAAGAAAGAAAGCTTTGTGCTGTGTGACTAACAGACTGGTCATTTGCTTTGTTATTTAATTGCACATGGTCAGATTCCATTATGTTTTATATTATGATTATGATGCTAAGGATTCTCTGTGTTAGCTCTCAGGCTGTGAGCGAGCTCTTGTCACTGAACTGTGCATGCATTTCTCAACACTGCAGTGTCAGAGAGAACCTTTTATCACATCAAAGAGGACAGAGCAAAGAGGTCAGGTAGGATATCACTGAGGTGCATGTCGGTGACCCCCTGAGCCACCCTTATTCTAACACAACAGGGGGCATTGATACAGCTCTGTGACAGCTCCCCAAGTCCTGATGGGTTGAAAATAGCCTCACAAGTGGTTTCTTTGAGTGGAGCAAAAAAGTCTTGATTGTGAGAACTGGTGCTATATATAAATGTATTGTTGTTGTTTCAAACACAGGCATGGTGGCACAATGGTTAGCATTACTGTATGACAGTGCTGGGGCTCTGGGTTCAATTCCTGGGGTGCTGTTTGTGTGTTCTCTCTCTATGTTCACCCCATCCTGAGAGGATCAATAGCTCTGCAGGAGACACAGGTTTTACTTTGCGTAAAAGCATTTCATTTCAAACTTCAAATGAAAAAGTACAAAACATGCCAAACATTTACATTCTGCAATTAAAGAGCAGAGGCGTTCCATAAAGTGTTTGCACAAAGATAGAAACACTCATTTCCCCTTTTCAAATTCTCCATTGAATCTTTAAATTGTTAAAGTGCAATGTTGGCCATTCCCAGGAAGCACAGCTCCCTGGCTCATAGCTTTGTCTCAGGATAGAAAGCAGAGCAGGGAGCTGCCTTTGCAGTGACAGAGGGGAGTTTAATTAGGACATAGAGACCCTGAGCTCTCAATGACAGCTGCTTAACCCCTGTCGAGTGAAGCACATTCCTGTGCTGATTAAGAGAATGTTTGGAGCCTCTGGACAACAGACTGTGCTGAAGGGGCTGGTAGGCAGCTTGTGGGGATAGACTTCACAGCAGCTCTGGCCTCTCCCACTCGGATCTGTTTCCTGGGCATCCCTGAAGACCAGCAGACACGCAGGCTCAGCCCTCGCAGCAGCAAAACCACCCTGCTGAGTGCATCTGTCCCCAGAGAGAGGGAGGGCACAGGCAGCACCCACAGAGTGCAGGGGGAGGGGGAGTCACTGTTCGTCCAGCAAGGGGAAAGGAACTGGGCTTGCTCTTCACAGAGAGAGACAGAAGACGTGAGAGCGTGGAGGAAGAAAAGCACGGTGAGAGAGAGAGAAAAGAAGGAGAGCTTGGTTGTTCTCTTGTGGATCTTAAGTATGCTCTGAACTGTGGAATGGCTTTGACTGGAGATCAATGGAACTCTGAAGACAGGTCCTTTTCCTTGGATTAGCTATTTAGTGTCTTAAGTCTGTGGTGCAGAGATTTCAATTCAGTAGCAGACACAGTCCATTCCTTGGGTAACACGTGGTTCGGCGATGTGAAATGACCTGGACACAACATGGCAATTACAGATTAACAAAGTTATTCTCCTTCATGGCTCCAGAAACTGCTCGCCGTAGCCAGTAATTTTAAATTGGATGTTGACATGCCAAGACGCTTCACAATGGAAATGAACACGATCACTGTGGAGTCAAAAACCAGCACCGGGATTTCCCAATCACCCGCTCTCACAGGACTGCTCATAGGGTAACATCTCCACCTTGGATTTCACGCCACTCAGAGTTTTATTGGAATACTTTACAACGTCTATTTTTTATTGTAGATATTCTTTGATTAAATTGCACTTCACTGAGGAAAATCCTTGGAGCCAGGAGGATCTACCCAGTGTAGTACTTTCACTGGAAACCTGGATTAGTCTGCAATTCCCTGCTCTCTGCTCAGCCCCTGTGCTGATGCATCACCTCACTCCCACCAGGGGTCCTGCGAGTGACGCTGAGCTGCAGCCACAAGGAGGAGGCAGAACCTCTGACAGAGCGCAGGAGCAGCCGTCCCTGGGTCTTCTTCTCCCTTGAGCTCTGAAAGAAGGAGAGCCGGGAGACACCAGCCCCGTTTGGAAAGACGCTTCTCTGGTTTAGCCTGGGCAGACGCTTTATCGCCAGGTTTTTATCTCCAGAGTTTCTTCCTTCTACTTCACGGGCACTTTATTTAAAGTCTCCGGGGAAGGTCTGGAGTGGGGAACCGATGGCATCCCTGGCAGGAGAGATGCCCAAATCCAGCAGAAAATTCAGTGCCCAGGAAGGAGTTCCTAGTGCCATCAGCAGTCCCTGCCCAGCCTTGCCAGACCCGGCCAACCGGTGAGTAGACCGCGCTGTGGGTTGGGGCGTCATCGTGCTGGCTGACCTGCTCAAGCTTCAGTAACGTGAGCGAGAATCGGTCCTGAAGGCAGGTAGCGCAGGAAGAGAAACTAACTGGTTTCTGCGAGCATATAACTTTATAACCTTTCACTCTGAAGATTTCTTTGAAATACAATTGCAGACAATATTGATAAAAAATGAAAAGCAATATCATTAGTTATTTTTTTTTTTTTAAATTCTAAATATAGTTAGCAATATTCTCCAATTGTATTGAGCTGGGGCCCTCTGGCATTTTTGTAGAGTATTTATATGACTAACAGAAATCTGGAAAGGATTACTTCTCCAGTTTAATGTAGATTTGAAATTGTCAGATAAATGAGTTAGTTTTTATTATACTTCCATTTCTTGATTACTTGAAAAATATGATTTGATTTTTCATTATTATAGCTGAACTGTTGAAATGCTGATTGTTGCAATACTCTTTTCTTTGAAACATTAGGGCATTGAATCAGTCAGGATTGTACTTAAGATTTTTACACCTGCTAAGGAGCTAACAACGCAGATGAGGAATTTCCAGTATATTTAACAGATTGCGAGTTTCAGAAATGGTATAGTACAAATCACATTGTGTACATTTGTAGCTATTTCCTAAATGCTTTTGCCTGACTCTAATTGTTCTGAGTCTGGAGATTTGTCTGTGATATTGGGTGTTTGTGTATTACTGTTTGTCCTGCTGCTTTAGAGATCACACCTGAGTGTGTGTCCTTGCTCATCAGACTGGGGCTTTGCTGTTCTATGGAAAGAATTCCTCTGCCGATCTAGCAACACCGCCTAAAGCAGTAGTCTAGTGACAGGTTTCCTCAGAGGTCTCCCACCTCAATACTGTCCAGGCACAGCCTTGCTTATATTCTGTGATCTCAAATGTGTTGAGATGGGAATTTAAGTGTCTCTTTCACAAAGTGTAAATGTTTTTCAATAATATAACATAAGGATTTAGGGATTTAATGGGTTTCTTAGGCATTAGGAGGGTGAGAGAGGGACAAACACAAGACACACACTTCTAACACAGCATTATTAGACACACAATTTCACTGTATTAGAAATACACGGTGACATCACGTTGCATTATTAATACACTCATCCTTGCTGCCCTAGTAACATGTACATGTAACATACAGTAGCATTATGAACATGCCAATCTTGCTGTATTAGAAACATACACAACAGTGCATCGTTAACACACACATTATCACTGCATTAGATTCACTCAACTGAAACACATTTCACCATTAACACACACAACCTCGCTGCATTAGAAACAGAGCTACTCTGCATTCATAACATCAGCTGAGCTCCTCTCAGCTACAAGGCAAGTGGCTTAATGTTTGTTTCAAATATTTTTTTAAAACTATTACATATCATGTAACACGAGCTATATTTCTTACCCAGATTCTTGCTTTATACAGTCACAGGTCACATGCTCAAAAGAAAATAAAACCACTTCTGCAATGACTCCTTTGAGCACAGTGAGGAGAAATCTGTGCTGCACCTGTTTAAGCACATAGTCCTCTGTCTCTGGGCTCCCCAGCACTGCTTTTTCCCCTAGTTCCACTAGTGTGTTTCCCATGAGTACATTGTTGAATCAGCTCTGAGGCATCTTTGCAAACAGTTTTTTGGAAGAATTTATTGGAGCTAGTGTGGTGAAGCCGAAGAGCAGCAGAAAATTCTGCAGTATCTTTTTAATAGGCAGGGTGGCCGGCCCTGTCTGTATTTCAATGTGTACCCCTAAAATAGTGGAGCCGTCCAGTTCTCCCATGACACGTGTGCACTTTCAGAGCTCTGCATGCCATGCTCACGAGCAAGGCCAGGCTGCAGGACACGGCCGCTTGTGCCTGCGTCTGCTCTTGCTTGTTTTCACGGCACTTGTATTCTCAGCCTGTCAAGGCTGCTTAATTAAGGCAAGCTAATGGAGCCAGAGCTCTCTGTAGAAACGAAATCAGAATAGGAAACGCCCATCATATACCTCTGTGTGAGCTGGTCTGGCGGTTGTTTGTTAAAGAGCTGGTGCCTGACCCACCCTCCCTAACGGCCTCTTTGCCAGAGCGTGTTTACAGAGCAGCGCTGTGCTCCAGTGCTGTGTTTGTTTTTCCTGTTGGTGTTGTCTGGAGTGTTGGTGGGCCTCCGTCCCGCAGAGCTGAATGACTGCAGTGTTGTGCAGGGAGACAGCCAGCCTCGCCCACGGTGGGCAGCCGGAGTGCCAGGCCCTGGCATCTCGGTGCAGAGGAGGAGCAGTCCACTGGACGTCTCTGTGGCCTTGTTCCCATCCCTTGGACAGGGGGCTTGTGTCTGCAGATCAGCTCACAGTGGAGGCAGTGGAGTGAACATCTCAGCCTGCAGGTCTATCTTCAGTTATTGCAAGGGAGACACAATGAAAAACACCTTATCTAGCAATGCTGTGTGGCGCAGAGACAACACACCTACAGCGTATTACTGAGAGGCTTTTGACAAGACCGAAATGCTGGGACTGTAAGTAGTGTATGCGTGTCATTCCAGAAGATGAGACTTTGTTACCTGTTACCTTTGCGTTTTGGTGCTGATATTTAACACGGACTGGTGGCACACAGAAGAACGAAAGACAGTTCTGAGAAGGGGGAGGTCGGCTGGGGCCATGGGGGACAGCACAGAGACATGTGTCTGGAGAACTGCAGCTCAGTGGACTCTCCAACCCCACGCTGGTGCTCAGAGTCTGTGGGCTTTACTGCACAGACAGAGCCACATTCAGGCCATTCCTGCTGCCCACTCACAAGGGTCTCACTCACTGCAGGCCTGCTCAAGGCTGCATCTCATTATGCCACTTTAACACAAAGTGGAGTAAATTCTTACAGAAGCTCACAGTTTTGGACCTCATGAGGTAGCTGATGTGCTCCTGTTGGTCTTCCTGTCCCCCATTCGCACTGCTGTTTCCTGATGATCGTGTTCTTCAATTGCTGGGAGCGTTGAGGTTGAAATTTAAAATTGATTATTAAGACATAGCTGTTAATCGGATTTCAGACTACTTTTGGGATATAAGACAAACAATAGCAGCATTAAAAGTGTATGAAATACAGTGTATATAAATACACTCAGCCTGTCAAGGCACACATATATATAAGTACTATATACAGCATTGTTGCATAGTAGTTAGTGCCGTTGTCTCAACACTTCGATCGTGAGTCTGATTCTGGGCTTATTCGTTGAGTTTGGATGTTCTCCCTGGATCGAAGTTAAGTTTTGCCAGGCACTCTGGTTTTCTTTTACCTTCCAAAGCCATGCTTAAACTCTGGCTTTATAACTTGAACCTATGTGCTTGTGTGTGTGCAACCTGCTATGCACTTGGGTCATGTCCTGGGCATAGCCTCTTCTTGCATCTTAGGAACAAGTACAGTAAAGGTTTATTCCATGCTGAAAAGAAAAAAGACAACATTTCGACTGTGGAGCATTCTCCAGTGGACCTTTCTTCACACCTGAAGAAGGCTCCACAGCTGAAACGTTAAGTATTGTTTTTTTTTCAGCAGGGATAAACCTTTACGTGTTTCTTTATAGCCTGTGCATGCTGATGCAGCTCCCTACTTGAACTTTTTGCATCTTATGCATTCAGGATAAGTTTCAGGTTTCCAATACCTGAACCAGGAATAATGGCTTCCTGATAATGGATATCATTGAATTCAGATGCAGTTTGTCAAGGAAATTTCGAGGACCAGTCATCAGATTTTCCCTGTTTTCACTCCTATAAGTTTCACCTCCCTGCTGTTGGGCTCATGTTTTTACAGACTCAGGCAGGAGCTGCCCCTGTGCTGTTTAATGGGACAGGACATCTGTCACTCTGGCCACCTGTTGATGTATGGCCCAATGAAATGCTCAGACTTAAAATAAGCATTTAAAAAAGGTCAAATATTTCAGAAGTAAAAAAAGGACATACTGTAATAAATTTGACAATGTACAAACAGCAGGCTGTTCCTAAGGCCAGCGAGGTTAAAAATAAAAACTGAGCACAAGTACCGCAAAAGTGCAAGACAGAGACTAGCTTGGACACAGTGTCTGTCTTTAAGTCACTTTTTAGTTTATTAAATTGCCTTTTTCATTGTGAGCACCACAGCTTTCATCAGGTCAAATCTACAGATTTGATCATGTCAGAGATTTATTCTGTGAAATCTGTATATTCAGTAGCTGAACGTCAGACGTCGCAGTTCTGGAGGGATTGTCCCAGAGCACTCGTTGGGGCTGTGGGTATGACAGACCTGATGTAGCCGGACCTTTCTCTCTGTTTCCTCTTGTGCCACCTGAGACTCGTCAGCTGCCCCTGAGCTTCCACTGAAGTCAGTGATTCATCCTTTTTCTAGCCTGTTTGATCAGTAGTAGTTAGTTGATCCCTGGATACCTGGATAGGAACTGCTGACCAGGAGGGCACATCACATGGCCTCCTGGTGTCTGTAAGCGTTCGCTGTTCTGTTCTTCCTGTTGTAGTTGATGTTCCATAGAGGCATCAGCCGAGTAAATTAGTCCCAGTTTTAGGAGTCCTGCATAGCACTTCAGCCAGGAGAACTAGAAAGAGCAGAATCTAGAAAGCGAGGCTCCCTCAGGGGTGGGCAGGTCAAGTGCTTCTCTGATACTTCCCTTCAATTAGACATTGAAATGTTAGATTTTAATTCATCTATTGACCTAATGGATTACATAAATAAAGCAATGAAGGCTTGTGATGGAAGAGGAACACACTGCTTGGGCAGGTTCAGAACCAGAACCGGCTCTCACGACACAGTGAGGTGGAGATGAGGGCTGGAGTGGGTTACGTGTCAGAGCTGCAGGGCCCAAACAGAGCAGAGCTAATGAATCAGAGGAAATGAAACATGAGCACAGTGTTCCCCCATTCTGCAGAGACTGTGGCAAGCTCTGTGCAAGGCCCGGACACTGAGGCTGGCCCGGCTCTAAGCTCTTGGCACGTCAGTAAGCCCAGTTTTCAGTGG